TTTTTTTTTTTATTACTAACATTATTTCGTTTAGTTTCTTGTAAATAGATTATATTCATATTGTACATACTCATTGGAAATTTTTAAAATTGTTGTTTTATTCCCCTCCTCTCACAGACAATGAGCTGTACAATGAGCTGTACATATGGAGACTATTTAGGATTTTCATAGAGACAATGATATATTATGGTGAATGTAGTAAGAAAGGTAAGTAAGAATGCAATGTTTTGGTGTCAGGTTTATTGTTTGTATGTTTGGGTCAGTGTTTGTGGCTAGCTAAGTTTAAAGTTAAAACAGATGAAGACCACCTTTTTGGGCCTTGTGCCACATTTTCTGTATATAACAGAAATAAATATCAGGAAGTTTCCAGCAGTCAGCTCTGACAGTTGGACCGAACTTTCTTGCTGTAACACTCTTGTTTCTATATGTTTGCATTACTGTTTCTGTTAATATATTTGTTTAACTCAATTCCTCTTGTGTGTCTTTATTTCTGGCCCTAACAAGGCCACAACAATTATCTATCTCATTGTGTTCATATCTATCTATCTATCTATCTATCTATCTATCTGCATGTATACTTAAATTTTAACAACTGACACCCTACCAACCTAAAAAAAAAATCAATAATCTACAACCAGTGTTTACACATAAAACACATCTGTTCTGACCCTGGGGTTTACAAAAAACGTATAAGGTATCTAATCAATCACTTTCCCAAACAAAATTATCTCCTTAAAACAATTAATTAAATCAATCATTCAGACTTTGAAACACAGTAAAGATACACTTTTAACCTACAAAAAATAAGACAAATTCAAAAGATTCCCACTTTTTTATTTTAATTACATTCACAAGCTATTTCATAGTTCACAAAATGATTTCTAGTACGTAAAAATTGACCCCACAATTAAAAACATATTTAGTGAGATCCCACTTGATACCAGGCAACAATCTCTAAATCTAAAATCACTTTTTACATTATCTTCTTTTGCTTCCCTTCAACAAGTTGACAATCATGTCTCTCCACAACTTCCTGTCTCTTGCAGTTCTTAATAAACTTTGCCTTTCTGGTATTTCTCTGAAGCCCTGTTCCATCATCCATTTGGATCCAATGATGAAATGTCTGATTCCTTCCCAAGTGATTATGAAAGCTTTTGCAGATGACATTCCCTCTGATCATGCCATTGGATCCAATGATGAACTGTCTGATTCCTTCCCAAGTGATTATGAAAGTTTTGGCAAATGACATTCCCTCTGATTGTGCCATTTGATCCAATGATGAAATGTCTGATTTCTTCCCAAGTGATTATGAAAGCTTTGGCAAATGACATTCTCTCTGATTGTGCCATTTGATCCAATGATGAAATGTCTGATTTCTTCTCAAGTGACTATGAAAGCAATGCTGATGACATTCCCTTTGATTATGATATTGGATCCAATAATGAAATGTCTCATTCCTTCCCAAGTGATTATGAGAGCATTGCAGATTTTGTAAGTTTTTAAGTCAACTAAATAACATTTAAACTTTTTTTTTATAATGTGCAATATTTTTTAATTTTGATGTTTTGTGCTCTTTTGTGCTTAGAACAATATATATTGAAAAGAATTCTGAGAAAACCCTAAAAAGTACCAGACTAAATTTTTATTCAATAAAAATCTTTCAAATACAACTGTAGCTATTTTTTTCCATAACCTTGTCTTCAAAATAAAGATGAGCCTTATATACTGGTGCATTTTATTTTCTGAAAGAAAAACTATTTTACCATGTGTAGACTTGCATTAGGATTCTCTAGACTGACATACATTTTGTGAATCAAAACAGGGTATTATTTTTTTCATAAATTTTCTCTCTTCATTCATTCTGGATAATGAATATCTATGAGTGCCTTACTTTATTCTGAGTTCCTACAAGATGAATTCTACATTATACACTGAATGTAAAAGTATTTACATAAGCTGAGCTTGGTTTGAATAGTGATAACTTTATCTTTTCTTATATCCAGAATCCCAGATTCTTTCAAAAAGGAAGAAAAGAAGTCAATTCATGGTGTGCTTTTGTCATTGCTAATAATGATGATCATAACCTTGACAAATAACTTTAGCTTTAACTACATTTCAATTGGCTTTTATTACATCTCCAAAAATACAGCAAAACCTTTTTGGACAAGCCAGTATTTTATAGTTATGTCATCTCTTTGTTATTTTCCCTATGAAACAAAAAAAAATGTCTTTTGACTGCAGACATGATTTTTGGTTTTATTGATCTCGTATTAACCCAGAAGTTGGCAAATGTTGCCAAGTGAATAGAAATTCATTCATGACTTCTTTTTGTATATATCTTTCTGGCTTAATCTTTAAAAGTAGGAAAAAGATCAAATCAGAATTCTTTTCATCTATATTTCCATATTATTTCAATATGGAATAAAAATTAGTTTCAAAGTGAGTCCTTGCCATTCTCTAAGCAACATAATATATTCTATATGGAAGGAAACTGCATTTGACAGACATTTTTAGAGGCAAGGGTTTAAAATCTGAAAGAGTTTTAAAAAATGAAATAAATCTTTCTGATTGAGTCAAAGAAAATACATTATCAAATGAATGGGATTTTAATGTAAGTGGCAATTATATTGTTATGGGGAAAAATCAAACAAAAGAGATGACGACTAAATTGAGATTATGTTTAATGTGTAACAGTCAACATTAGGCTAGCTTTGCTATGAACATAAATTCTGTGCAATAAATTCGATTACAGTGAATAAAATACTAGGAATTCTGTCATTGAACTTTTCCAACCAATCAGAAACAAGATGTTGTTTACTAAGCTTTGCTTACTCTGCCATACAGGCCTTAGGTTACTTACAATACTGTCTGTCTAAAAGTAGTCTCCTTTCTAAGTACTGAGCAGGCTCGTTGATGCATAATTTCAGTGATCTGATAGGAAACAGTGCTTTCAGTGTTATTTGAAAATAAGTCCAAGATCTAGGTCATTGGTGCCCAAACTTTTTTTTCTTAGGGTTGCATTTTTCGGAGAAATGCCTTGCATCTTACCAAATTTTTTGTGATAAAAGTACATTTAAAAATTAAAAAAGTGAGAGAGGGTTAAAGAGAGATAAATGCAGATTTGAAGTCAGAACATTATCATTGATAACTCACTCCTCCAATTTGCAGACCCTAATTACTCTATTCTTAATACTTGATATAATGCAAAAATATCACAATGATAAAATCAGTCAATAATTATAATTTATAACTATTTATACTGGGACTCGTGCATGCAGTTAAAAGTAATCCATAATAATATTTTAAATTTTGAAATCATATTTATGTTTGGCACTTGAATTTTTTTAAACTGTTTCTAAATCTTTGATTGTCTTTCATTCATTCTGCTGCACCTGCTATCCACTACTGCTGCACCTATGAGGTGCACCACACTGTTTGTGAAACACTGATCTAAATAGATCTCACCTAAAGTCAAAGTATAAAAATCTGTGCAAAAAAAAAAGAAGAGTTTGCAAGAATACTTAAATTTTGATATTCATCTAAAAGAAAATATGATTATTCAAATCAACCAATGGTGAATATTTTCTTCTCTCAACCCTACTGTAATAAAACATGGGAGAGTAGCTTTTTGCAGTTTAGAATAGCTTAGTAGAAAATAGATACTATAAATTATAGTGGTTTAGACAAGGAGTGTTCTTTGGTCAAGGGAGATAATCACCAACAAGGAAGATAATTATGGGGTTACCTCCTTAGATAATTACTCTGATAGAATTGAAAAATCTCAGTGATTGATTTGTTTTCATAAGAGACAACAAGCATATATTTTAAGCAACACATGTTCACGCCATTAAACATCTTTGTTGTTGGGATGAAAATCTAACAATATTTTGTACATTGATCTTTTCAAAAATAATATCCTTTTCTTGATTGATATTTGTTTTTAACTCACTTTGTTTATGATGGACCACATAGATAGCAGTCAGGGGTTTATTTCATAAAAAGTCACTTTTTTTGCAAGCCGCCAGTGATATATGTCAAAGATGCAAAGGGTTACTGAGTGTGAAAGAATATAAAAAAAGGAAAAAACATAATTAAGGAGTGAGAAAAATAAAAGAACAAGAATTAAAAAGACAGAAGATAATGGTTGATATCACATTTAAATTTTTGATGATCTAAGTTGACTGGAAAGCAAGAGCCTGAGTGGGGATGTAAGAGAGAAGAAACTGTTAGCATAGAATTTATGGTCATTTCTAGATATTTCAACAGTATGGGACCCACTTGCCTTTAAATTCATAAATTTGAGGTACAAAAGAGGAAAGCTCATCAAAACAATCACCATAAAATATTTATCAAAAAGGAATGAGGAACTACATTATATCATTTCCGAAAGTGTCTGATGTCAAGATACAAAGTCAGGACCAATAACATTCCAGATTATTCTTTGGATTTTATCAAGAATGTCTAAATACCTACTGGAAACAGCAGACCAGCTGTAACATATTCAAGGCATCTATGAATGGTTGACTTATAAATGTCATTGTGCGGTCTGAATGTTGATATTAGATGAACCATACAAACTTTAAAATTGAACAAGTGACACAAGCCAAGGCAAGGATAAAAAGAACAAAGCGTTTAGATAAAATATGCCTAAATTTATTATTGGCAGAAAAAAGGAAAATACAATCGAAAAATCTGGATGTTTCAAATGCCCTGGGTAGTCGTGCTGGTAGTTGACTGTTGACTAGCTGGCAGTCGTAGCCCAGGGCAGAATTTTGTTGGCAACCAGAAGATGAAGATAAAACTGCTTGGGAGACAGCAAAGGATGATAGGCAGTCAGCAAAGATCAATAGATAGTGAGTTGGTACTAGAAGGCAGTCTTAGCTAAGGGTAGGTAGTTGATGGGCAGCAGGAAGTGAAATAGAAGAAGACATGGTCAGAGGGGAGCCAGTTGGTTGCTGGTGATCACTGATGATTACTGGTCACTGTTGACTGTTTGGTGGTCACTGATGATCGCTGCTGGTTGCTGGTGATTGTTGATGACTGCTGCTGATTGCCAGTGATTGTAGTTGACTGCTGCTTCTGGCTGATGGTTGTTGTTGACTACTGCTGGTTGCTGGTGATGGTTGCTGACTGCTGCTGGAAGCCGGTGGTTGTTGCTGACTGTTGCTGGTGACCAATGGTTGTTGTTGACTACTGCTGGTTGCTGGTGGTTGTTGCTCACTGCTGCTGGTTGCTGGTGATGGTTGCTGACAGTTGCTGGTTGCTGGTTGTTGTTGCTGACTGTTGTTGGTTGCCGATGGTTGTTGCTGACTGCTTCTTGTTGCCGGTGTTTGTTGCTGAGTGCTGCTGGTTGCTGGTGGTTGTTTCTGACTATTACTGGTTGCTGGTGCTCAATGGTTACGATACTACCCAATCATCTTCTTCTGCCCTGACCCTTGTCCAAGGAGTGACTGGTTGTAAAATGTATCTAAAACGATGTACAGAAGTAATAAACTTAAACAATTTGTACAAACTTAAATTGAAAAAGTTTATTTGAAGAAACGAAAAAAACAGAGTAGTTTTTTTCACTATGATAGTCAGTCAGTTATGTGCCATCCATGATACATGCTCAGGTGATCATGTATCTTTTGATATATGAACAATGAGGCAGATTTTTTCCCGCAATAGGTTGACATTTCTTTCTGCAGTAGACCGGTTGCCATCCAAGGCTGTAGGACCCAGTCTGTCCTGCTATTTACCCAAGAAGAACAAGAGGATTCATACCTTTCCCAAGGGTATTAGCACGTAAGTGAATGTAATGGACTCAACTGGAATTCAAACTCAACTTTCCAATTCCTCAATCCGAGCCATTATCCATTACTCCTGATACTACTACACACTGCTAAACACCATATTCAAACGACAGGACAACCGACCCATTCAACTATGTAGAGACTCAGCCGGCAAAGGAAGAATTTCAGAAAAAAAAGAAGAAAATCTGTCATGGGCAACAGAGTGAACCAAATTTCCTAGTAACTGAGATGACAATTGATTCAATATAATCTTCCCATTTTATGTCAATGGCAAACACTAGCCTGAAAAGGTACAATGAATCATTTATATTATAATAATAATATATATTGATTATTTATATAAGAAAATAGAATCATATATTAAAGGATTATATATATATATATATAACCTTTTGTGGATGCAGTGGCTTTTCAACAATCTTCCTTGGATTTTCATTAGCCCAAATGCAACAATTCTGCTTAACAAATCCACCAAGATGAAAATGGGCTTCATCACTAAAGAGGATTTTTTGTGAAAAATCTTCATCAGGATTTTATTTGCCCATGCACCCACTTGATGAATGTACGGCACTCCAAATGGTCAGCAGGTTTCAGTTCTTGTGTCAATTGAATTTTGTAAGCATCTAGAGACAAATCTTTTATCAAAATTCAATGTAGCATTGTTGTTGAGAGGTTCAATTCCTGCATGTGATGACGAATAAAGGTGTCTGGATTTTTGGCCACATTCTCATACAGTGCAGCAATGTTTTCAGCTGAACGGTCTAAACGAGCACACAAGGGTTTTTTCGCATCTGCCGCCAACCCAGTTTGTTTGAATTTACGAACAATTTTTCCAATTGCTCTCTTGAAACTTTAACACATTGTTTGATTGTTAATCTTTCCATGGTTAAAATTACTAAAGACTTAATTTGTTAATTCTGAAAAAAAAAGAAAAAAAACATCAGGCACTTAAATTTAATTCACATTTAAAATTGATCCAAGTTATTGGAACACCCTGTATATATTGATTATTTATTTCTGGCCTTTAGGCTCCACAAACATTGTTATGATCTATTCACTATTCTTTGGGAAAACTACTTAATTTAGTATTTAGTAATATCATTTTAGTAATGTTATAACAATAATAAAATAATTACTGAAAGTTATATAAATTAAAAAATTACTTACATGTACTATTGCTATTAGTATTATAGTACTGTTATTCTTATTTTATAAAGTTCCCTCTATCTATCTCTGTCTTTCCTCTCTCTACATATATATGTGCGTGTGTATGTAATTGTGTTTGTGTTGTGTGTGTAGAGAGAGAAAGTTAAAGATGAATGCTTCATAGATTAAGCCTTGGCCCTTGAACCTTGTTCAACATATAATGCTTAACCTATAAAACAATTTAGAATTAGAGTCTCAAGTGTTCTCAGTGTCTTGTGAATTCTTTGTCCAATTCATTTTATAATGGTTAGTTGAAATGTCAGGAAAATGTTAAAGAGTATGTACTAGAAATTTTTCAATATATGAGCAGTCACATCATGTGTAATTTTCTTTTCTTCAAAATTAAAATTATTTTTCTATCTGCATCACTATATATCGACACTGAAATCCAAAGATGCATTCGAATAGCAAACGATGCCTTTGGAAACTATTAGTATTAAAGTATTATGAAACAAAAAACATTCATTAGTAATGTTGGGTTTGTAAAATTCATCTGCTCCTATATAGAGAGATTGGTCACATGATGTTAGGCGTTCTCTGATTGATTAATAAAACTACATAGGTTTAAAAAAAGCTGACCACCAGAGAGAAGCGACCGGACCAGCTTCGAAGCAACACACAAGAAATTCTCTCCACCACTGACAGTTCCAGCTGTAGAGGCTTTTAAAGGTACAAGCCATCTAGCCCTATTTCACTCCATCAGATGGGTAAGTCCCCTTGAAATATTTTTTATACATATAGGAATGGTATATTAACCTTTGTATTCATGTTTAGGTATAAATAAACATATAATATATATATACGTAAAGTATTCTTATTTGCATCAGTCCTAAAGTAAAGTGGGACTAGCACAATAGTAACAAAGAAAAGAGTACTGAACTATTACATAATATCAGTTTTCCTATATAGCAGTGAATGATGAATAATCTCCTCAAAGATGGAGAACAGACTTGAAGCAACAGAAATGTGGTTCAACTTGAAAGATGTTGAGAATACCCTGGACTGAACATGTGAACAATGAAGAAGTTTTAGAGAAAATGGAAACAAAATGACACTTATACTTAACATCAAGAAGAGATAGTTGAAATTTCTAGGGCAGATAATGAGGAAAGAGGGTTTGGAAAATTTGATACCAACAGGACAGATTGAAGACAAGCAGGACAGAGAAAAACAATACATAACATAAGCTAGTGAGCTTAAGTAAATGGATGGTGGAACTAGGAGAGATAACAAAAAGACAAAATTTTTTAAGAGTTACAAAAAACAATTGTGGAAAGCTGTGATCACATACATCATACAGAGACATGGTACACAGAAGAAGATCATATATATATATATATATATATATATATATATATATATATGTACATATTATTATATTAGTAGTAATACTCAGTTGATAAAAAAATTCAGATAGCACAACTTGTAAGTATATCAAAACAAATTGGTACCCAAGGAAAAGACTGGAAAAAAAAGAAAGAACTAGAAACATCCAAACAGGGAGAAATAAATCTTCCAGTGTCTTAAGTTTTTTATTCAAAGAAAAAACCCCAAACGAGTAATAAAGCTAAAATGTAGAATGCTCAATACGCTAAGTAGAGCTGAGATAAATAAAATAAATCCTAAAGAGCCAGGAACAACCTACCTAGGTTCCAACTAAACGGATCTTCAGGGTAATCTGGCTAAAGAGGAAATGACACAAAACAATATTTATTGATAATTAGCATAAAACCATGTGACAGAAGAAGATAGAAAAAAAAACCCAACAGAGCCTCTATTCTAATAACCAGGATTTCCTATGCCTACACCTATTTAAAATCTCAGACATTTGGTTTAATAAATTATTATCTTCATGGAAGGTGGGTATTGCTAATTTTTCCTCCATACATAAAAAGCAATACTTGTCCTCTGCTTTATACTTATGCCATTTTTTTAGTATTTCCCATTTTAAAATGGGGTCAATATCATCTTCCTGTTTAATATTCCATATGTATGTAGACAGGCTAGTGCTGTGTTCGCAATTTTCATGCTTAAAGCTACTTAAATGATTGTAGTAACACTTTTTGAAATTACCTTGGGTGGATCCTATGTAAAATTTAATATTCTTACTATTATTAGGTTTATTTCTGTGTATTTCAACTTTAAAAATCACACATTCTTGTTGGCACTTGCCCTTAAGTGGGCAGACATCTTTATTTCTACAGTTACATGTAGTGGGGTTGGAGTGTGGTTTGTCTATGATTTTTTTCTGTTACATTTATTAATTAAGTTAGCCATGTTCAGCATACAACTATAACTTAATTTAACATGATTCCTGTTGAAAATTTTGTACAATAGGTTTGTTGCGGGGGAAATTCCTTTTTAGTAATTTAAAAAATATTTTCCTAAAATTTAGTTGTAATGGTTAAATTATATGGGGGGTTAAGCCATAATATCTTCCTGGCCCTATTTTTATGTTTACCTTGCATGCTAGGGGAATTATGAGTATCAATATATATCAATTTACTTTTGTATCTGCTATTTTCCAAGACCCTTTCTTAATCCTGTTTATTTTGATTAATAATATTAGCACTAGATGAATTAGTAGACAGTCTATAACTAATTCTGTTAGGTATATGTTTTAAAACATATTGGGGTGGTTTGAACCTACATCAACATAATGCAGCCAATGGTTGTTTTACCAAAATGGAGAAATTGTGCCATTACATAAGTTGAGGGTAATGTCCAAATAGTCTGTAACTTTTAAATTAGTTTATATTTCTAATTTAAATCCAAATTTTTTGAACATCCAGTGTAATTTTTTATGGATTATGTCACCTTTTCTGGAGATACATTATAATTTAAACCATCATCTCTCTATAGACTTTGGTTACTTGGGTCAATAAACTTATTCAAATTATTTAATAAGAGGCACCTTACTAATTCGTATACTTCAGCTCTGCCATATGTCCCTATAGGGTTATGAAAATTGCTGCTGTCTCTTTTTTTAATCCATAACACATCGTTATGGTATAATAATGACTTGCAGCAATGCCTAATGACGTCAACTTTATCATTAAATACTAAAATATACTCCTTAGCCAGTTTTAAAGCTTCATTATTTGTTTTTCAGTAATGGACAGTATAAAATTCTTTTATGTCATATTTTACAAATGAACATTTGTGGTTTTTGTCATAATTATTAAACTATTCTATGCAGTCAGGGGTACTGCACCATTGGTTAACGTTTAAATCTACTCTTAGTGTTTCATATATATCTTGTAATACTATTTTGCTGATCTTCCCCATTTGTGTTTTAGTTGGGTTGATTAATTGACATACAGGGTTGTTATAGAAATCATTTTTGTGATCTTTTAAACTTATGATCTTGTTATGAAACAATTTT